CTTCTGGGAAAGCTTCATGGTGTATTATCTGAGTATATTCATTCCTTGTGCCAAAAGAAAAAAAAAGTGGTAGGAGTGGAGGATATCACACAAATCAGGCCTCAAAAACTGTCAAGTGAAAGAAAAGCAAAGGAAAAGGCTACCCAAAATGCAAAAGGATATTGGGAGTTTTCTGTTGTTTTGTGACATGTCACAATCAGTCTTGGGTCACTAAACTGCTTCTTACTGACTGGGTTCAAGCAAATGGATGCACCACCATTGCATAATTGTAAACTACCTCAGGGAAAGACATTGCTCCAACGAGAGGACTATAACTAAAAATTATGAGCAATTGTTAAGAAGCAATTATGTAATTTGAACTCAACAGGATAGTACTGGTACCTTTGTAATTCTCAGGTTAATGTAAATCACATGGCTTTATGGGCCCACATGAAAGTGGTATACTTGGCATTTCCTGCTTGAATTTTTTCTTAGTTGGCATAGTAGCTGTACAACATTGTTTCCCCCCCTTTGTATCCATGACTCCCCCCCCCCCCATTCCACATTCAGTGTTACTCTCTATCTTTTCTGTATTTTCCTTCCTGCACTCAGATATGTACCAAAAAGTCTTGGTTGCCCTGGCTAAAGACCTGATGAAAGAAAAGGGGAATCATGACCTGTTGATCTTCCTAGTTCTCTCAGTGATTTTCAGTACCACTGGTCCTACTGGACTGGTTCTGCTGGACAGAAGAAGGAGGCAATATTCTGTTCCCATCTGTGATGCCAGTTCAAAGGCAGTGGAAGATCCTTGTTCATCTCCCTGGTTATTAAGCTGTAGGATGCCACAGGCTCTATTTTATCCCCCATTTAATCTCTGTAAATGAAACTACCGAGTGAGGTCAGTAGGACTCTACTGACTTGACTCTACTGTTCTGAATCATGGAGCCAGTTGGGGGAAGTGGACCAATGCCTAGATGCTGTAATGGGCTTGATGGGGACTGAGAAACTAAAGTTGAATCCTGATAAGGCAGATTTTCTGTGGATTATCAGTTTTCTAGTCTGGGAACTGGGTGAGTGATCAGCCTTGGATGGAGGTGCACTTGTCATGCCTTGCCTGGAGGAGGACTCGGAGGACTCAGAAGATGGGCCAGATCCTCCTCTGGGACCTGAGCCTGCAGCTGTGGAGCCCCAGCCTAACCCCAGCAGCTCTGCTTTGCCAACTCCAGCAAAGCCTCCAGAAGAGCCTGTGTTCTCCCAGGAGGGTCCGCAGCCAAGTGTCCAGGCAGCAGAACCTTCAGATATGGAAGAGGATCAAGGGACTATGGGGGGTTGCAGACTGCCAGAAATAGTGCAAATTGAGTCCACTTTTAGGGTTAGGGTTAGTGCTAGGGAATCATGGGAACTGATTTATTGTGGCACCAGAGCTCTCTGACAGAGAAGGCTCAATGTCCCAGAAAAAAAACAATTCCCATGATTTCCCAGCACTAACCCTAACCCTAAAAGTGGACTCAATTTGCACTATTTCTGGCAGTCTGCAACCCCCCTTAGTCTACCTCCAGCCAGTGTCCAGCAGAAAGGGTGGGCCTTTGGTGTTCGCTGAGACTTTATGAAAAACGCCGGAGCAATCAGCTTCAGCTGAGCTCCTGCAGTTTGGTAATTTAAGCAGGTGCGGAAGGTCTGCCTCGGTGCCAGAGATTATCTGAGCTTCCTAGCAAAAGTCTCTGTCTCTCCTTGTTCCTTGGCCTGAACCCTTAACCCTCAGACTGAAGACTTATCTTGAACTTCTGGTGCCCTTGACCTTCGGACTACCTTGCCACTCTGCCTCTCTGGAATCCTAGACCTTCGGACTGCTTGACCATTCTCTGGCTGGACCTCTGGACTTGTAATATGGACCTTTGCTTTCTGGCTTTGCATTAGCAAAAGACTTTTGTTTGCCTTCCACCCTCACAAGAAGCTGCTATCAGTCCTCTTGACGGCTTTCTGGGACAGCACTCTCCTTAAAGAGCAGGTGTGTAGCTTGGAGGTACACCTGGATCATTTTCTGTCACTTGAGCTTGGGATGCTTAGGCACAGATTCAACTGGAGTAAATATTAACTAGCTTGCCATTGACATAAAGCCTTTCTTGGCTGCAGTAGTTCATGTGCCGTAACTTCCTGATTAGACTAATGCAATGCCCTTTACAAGGGTCTGCTCTTATAGACAACCCTGAGGCTTCAGATAGTGCAAAACACAGCAGCTATAATTTTCAGTAGTTATACCTAGATAATGAGGAAATCAAACTGCTAAAAGAATTTCCATACCTTGGTTCAAACATCAATCAGAAAGGAGGTTGCAGTAAAGAAATCAGAAGACTAGGAATGGAAAAGGGCAGTGATGAAAGAACTAGGTAAGATCCTAAAGAGTAAAGATATACAACTGAGCACTAAAGTCAGAATAGTCCAAGTCATGGTATTCCCCATCCGCTTGTACAGATTTGAGAACTGGACAGTAAAGAAGGCAGATAAAAAGAAAATAAATTCATTTGAGATGTGTTGCTGGAGAAGAGTGCTGAGGATACTGTGGACAGCCAAAAAGACAAACAAGTGGTCCCTTGAAGAGATCAAACTTGGAATCTCCCTAGAAGCCAAGAAAGAAGGGGAAAAAAGAAGTATGATGGTTGAATAGCTGTACATCCAACCTTGAGGTTTGGCAGAGCCATTTTACAACATTTAATAGCCTGAAACAGAGGATAAAATGGAGATCCCTCCACCTGCAATTTCATTATAGAAGTGGACCAGACTTGCAGTTTATCAATATTTCAACAAGGGGATGAGAGAACACCCTAAAGAGAGATACTTGAAAAATGTTATGAATGACAAAAAATGAATTAGTATGTAGAGTGATCTTGTACACTTTGAGACTAAATGAAAAAAAGTTGGTAGCATGAGCTTTTGTAGACTTGCCTACTTCCTTATGTTAGGATAAATGCTCTTCAGGGGAATTTATAATTAGCTCAAATATTACGAGAGGGCACTCCTAACTTATGCCCAGGGATCTTCACCAAATG